TGGAAATTTTAAACCCGAAACCTTCCTGGGTGATGTTTTAAAAAAAAAAAAAAAAACATTGGAAATTTAGCTCCCTAAATGGCTCCACAGAATATGTTCTGTCACTAAAAGAGAAATCAAGGCATTATTTTTACACTGTTTTCACTATGAACACTACAAAATAATAATAATAATAATAATAATAATAATTATTATTATTATTATTATAGCATATATTATACCGTTCAAATGTTTGGGGTCAGTAAGAATATTTTTAAGATTTAAGAAATTAATACTTCCATTCAACAAAACATACATTAGATTAATCAAAAACTACAAAAAATGCATTTAATAAAACGGTCACACTTTATTTTAAACTCCAAATCTTGCTATTAACAAACCATTAACTATGACTTTTGCTTCAATAAACTTCTAATTTGCTGCTTATTAATAGTTAGTAAGGTAGTTAAGTTTAGGTATTGGGTAGTATTTGAGGTGTATAATATTATCATGCAGAAAATTTACTTTATAAGCACTAATATACAGCAAATTTAATAGGCATGCTAATAAGCAACTAGTTAATAGTGAGAATTGGTCCCAATACTAAAGTGTTACCAATAAAATAATTAAGTGGAAAACCCTTATTTAAATTTTTTTGTAATGATATTTCACATAATTACCGTTTTTACTGTATTTTTGAACAAATAAATGCAGCCTTGGTGAGCAAAAGAGTGCAAAATCTTGCCAAAAACACAGATATTCATAAACAGATATTCTGAACCGATTCACATAAATTGACTAACACATTTTTGTCAGCTGACACTAAAACATCTGCCTTAACAGTCTCATAGTCGTGAGTCACGAAGAAAGGACAGCTCATGAAAATGGAGAAAAACACACTGCATTCAAATCACTGCAATGGTCACAAATCGATGTATCGCTACATAACTAGTGCCTACAGTTCTCATGAAGGCCTCGGAGAAACCCTACACATCAGCAACAGGCACAAAGCAACAGTTTGTTTTGCACAAGATTTAATTTGCTGCATCTTACCATCAGTCTTCTACCTTCCTTTTTTTTCACCGCATGAACAGCCTCTGTGTTTGAGTGTGTATCACTGCAGATTCACTTACCTGCTATTATAAAGCAACGGATGTTGCTCCAATCTCTTACAGCTTTGAACAAGATCTTCCTGCTGCGAGTCTCCACGTCTTCCTGAAACACAAAGAGGAATAAAACATCAGGCCAGCGCTAAAGCGGTTCTCTCTACCGATCCTGATCCTAAGAGCAAATCTAAACTGAGAGGACTCGGTGAGAGAAATGAGCACCATAAATGGAGAAATTCCCCCAAACCCAGCTGTCATACATTTTATACTTCATTTACACTTAACAATCACTGTTTAAACACCTCCTCTCTGCTTCCACATACAAGTGGGGAAGTTTCAGTTTCCTTCACTAGTAAAGATATTTATTACATTATAGACACACACACACATATGTACATGAACAACTACAATTTTTCGATGTTTTTGAAAGCTTTTAATAATCAAGCTGCATTTATTTGATTAAAAGTTAAAAAAAAAAGTAATATTGTGAAATATCAATAAAGTGCCCCTATTATGGGTAATTAAAGGTTCATATTTTGGTTTTGGGAGTCCCCAACAACAGGTTGACATGCATGCAAGGTCAAAAAACACTTTCATTGTCTTATAATATGCATTTATTTTTATCTTATTTGCTCAATGACTCCCAAACGATTCGCTCAACGATTAATTTTTCCAAACCCCTCCTTTGCGTGACGCTAATCTGCAGTGATTGGTCTGATTGGCTCATTTTCATTTCATCATGCCTGTGATGCCTGAAAAAGCAGCGTTTGTAAGCACAGTGCTGCTTTGTGTACAGCATTACCGGGGAAACAGCTAATCTTACAGCTTCAAAAGCGGCACCTAGTGGCAAAAAAATGAATTTGTATTTTCATTCAGACCAACGCAATATGCTGATGTTTCATGTTGACATCAACATGAAACAGCTTGGGATTCGTTTTAAAAACGACTCGTTTCAATGATTCAGTCAACTCTTTCTTTTGAGAGACAATAACTTTATACACGGTGCACTTTCAGATTTGAAATTTTGCAGAATGTTTTCATTCACTTAGAGCCGTGTTACACACTGGATAAAAGGTCATTTTCAAAAATCCATAATAGGGGCACTTTAAAATTTAAAATAACTTTTCAATTTGAATATACATAAGACTTTTTTTTAATCAAGCATACTAACAGAAACGGCGGGTCGTATCTTTCAAGTGGCACTAACTAGGACATGTTTTGAAAAATGTATCTCACTGATGTCATTGCATAAGCATCAAGGTTGAGTTCTTCCTGGCAGTCGACTTGTTGGCATGAGATAGCGTTTTACAAAGCAGACTGCAATCTTTAAAGGCCTCAGACTGTAGTTTATAGTGAAAATTGGTTCAACTCCATCATCTGTGGCATAAAGAAAGGCTGTCAAAAGAGTGACTGCCCCTCTTTGTTATCATAAATACAGCCCTGAGAGCTAAGGAAAGAAAACTCAATAGAGGTTTCAAAATAGATGACATCACTGCCACCCTGAAATGAAGGTCTAAAAATAGGAAGCATATCCCGCCAAAGGAGAGTGACAACATACTTCAATTAGGCGGCTCAGGAAACAGAAAGACAGGTGTATGGAGACTGTAAATATACCTCCTTTCACAAACATAATAACTTGCCTCCGATGTCTTTTATTACCTACTCTCTCGACATAAGATCTATTCAATGACCAGTTGTGTGGCAGTGTAATACTAAAACTAGGACTGGGCAAATATATACAGTCAAATAAAAAATTATTCAGACACCAGATAGAATTTTTGATATTTTTTTACTAGTGGTGCAGAATACTATAGTTCATTGAGGATAGCAAAATAAGGTAAACTGTGACATATTATACCCAAAAATTCTTCATACAGTGGACTACCAGTCAAATCGGGAAAAAAATTGGGACCAAAAATTATTCAGACACTTTGACCTGACCATTTTTGGCTTCAGTGTTTTTCTTTAATTGCTTTTTAAAGAACCAGACTGAACAAAAGTAAGCATTGCTTGGTAAATTGGTATTATCTAATTGTGTACTTAAATTTAACAGCTGAATAATTTTTAGTTGATTGTAATCCATTACATACCTTTCTATTAAAGTTATCAGACATTATCAAGATAAATTTAAACTGAGTTAAACTGTCAAGACACAGTTTAACTCGAGTTCTTGTCATATTTTATTACCATTTTGTAAACTATAGTGAATAAACTGTGATAATGTGAGAAATATTGTATATAAAACTAGGACTGGGCAAATATATACAGTCAAATAAAAAATTATTCAGACACCAGATAGAATTTTTGATATTTTTTTACTAGTGGTGCAGAATACTATAGTTCATTGAGGATAGCAAAATAAGGTAAACTGTGACATATTATACCCAAAAATTCTTCATACAGTGGACTACCAGTCAAATCGGGAAAAAAATTGGGACCAAAAATTATTCAGACACTTTGACCTGACCATTTTTGGCTTCAGTGTTTTTCTTTAATTGCTTTTTAAAGAACCAGACTGAACAAAAGTAAGCATTGCTTGGTAAATTGGTATTATCTAATTGTGTACTTAAATTTAACAGCTGAATAATTTTTAGTTGATTGTAATCCATTACATACCTTTCTATTAAAGTTATCAGACATTATCAAGATAAATTTAAACTGAGTTAAACTGTCAAGACACAGTTTAACTCGAGTTCTTGTCATATTTTATTACCATTTTGTAAACTATAGTGAATAAACTGTGATAATGTGAGAAATATTGTATATATTCATTAAAAAATTTTTTTTTCCAAAAGTCATATTTATTTATATAACAATATAACAAATAATACATTTAATATTAATTTATTGTTTAGAAAAATAGCAAAATGTCCTTTAATTTTACCTTCATATTAAAAATACCTATTTAAATTATATACTAAATATATATATATATATATATATATATACTAAATTAAATTAAATTAAAATTATATTATATAAGTTGGGTCAAAAGTGTCTAAAATGGCATGTAAAATAAAATCATTATGAAACTTAAAAGTAAATTACGAAAACTATGATATTTACAATCCTACACATTTTTTATAAAAATCACCAAAATAATTATTGAATAAATGTAATATTCAATATATTATCCTGCATTACTCCAAAAAAAAAAAAAGTCCAAAAAAGGTGTTAAAGTGTTTGGTGTCATTATGAAACTTAAAAGTAAATTACGAAAACTATGATATTTACAATCCTACACATTTTTTATAAAAATCACCAAAATAATTATTGAATAAATGTAATATTCAATATATTATCCTGCATTACTCCAAAAAAAAAAAAAGTCCAAAAAAGGTGTTGAAGTGTTTGGTGAAAAAAAAAAAAAAGGAAGCACGACAGCCTTATTTTCTCCCTCAATGCAACACAGCAAAGCTAAACTTAACGGCTTGGTTTTCCACATAGAAAACTTTTTGTGACAACGTCAATGGTTGAAACCGAGAGAAGGAAAGAATTGGTTTAACAGCTGGCATGGATTACTGCCCAAACACTTGTCAGCAAGCAAATAATAGATGTGTTTTTAGAGTCAGGGAGCAGAAAACAAAGGCTGGATCAGGTTATGGGCAGTACCTGTTCTAGGGTGTTCAGGTGGAGGCAAGAAACAATGTGTAGGCCGGAGGCCAAGAGTTCAATCAGGATCTGGATAAGGTTGCACATGGGAATCAGGTTAGAGGTTATTCCTCAGGGAACAGTTACAGTACAGATGAAGAGAAATAATAAGAGATAGAGTGTCAAAAGGAGAAAGATAGACAAGATTTTACACAACTAGAGCCTAAATATATCAGAATGCTGAGCTACAGTAACAAAAACAACCAAACCTAGAGTATTATTTTTAGATTTGTGGTACAGTTTCTTCACCTTGGTGTCTTACAGAATCACCACTATAAAAAATTATAACAATTTTAACAGTAAAAGACTGTAAAAATGCTACGGTACCATTAATGGTCACACTTTAGTTTAGGGACCATTTCTCACAATTAATTATTAACTATGATTTTTGCCTCAATAAGCTAATTTGCTGCTTATTAACCCTTTCGCACGTGAGTTTAAAATATTCTAGCTGAGCCCCCAGCATGAGTTTTTTTTAGGCGACCGTTATTTTAAAATGTATCGCCTTATTGTTTCCATGGCGACGCGTCATGCTTGTCATGTGGCACAACGCAGCCATAATAGATCTGTGTGACACATGGATCGCTTTTATTTCGTTTTTCCTGTTTTATTCAAAATATTCACAAACATGCTCACTATATTATGAAATATCTGATATTCCAATTCTGAAATATGTGCAATTAAATCTGTTTGGTAGTTTAAACACTTTTATATTGACCGTGTTAGTTTATCTATACCGGGTGATGGGCGCCACCATGTTAGTTCGCGCTGCATCTGAGCTGTGGGATTTACAACACGCAAATTCATCTTCTCCTCCCGAAACATGTTAAAGTAGGTCTCCGGTAAACTGGGAGAAGAGCAGAGTAAACTTTATAGTTACCTACACAATCTGTATATGATATCAATAAAAACATGTCGTCAGATTATATTTGTAAGGATCATTATTGCCGTTTCCATAGACATCAGTGTGTATTTTACAAACTGTAAATGTATGGTTTTGCTAGTACTTATGTGTATATAAAATGTGAAACCTAAAATAAGTATTATATGGTTGAAAACAATGAATATTTGTGATAATATGACAAGCGCTCAGCGCGTCCGATCTGGCTCCGTGCGAAAGCGGATTTAAATTCAGCAGTTGATGACGTGACGCACTGAAAGTTCTAATCACACCGGTGTGATCGTACGCTTCAGGGACCAGCCAAGACTGATCACACCGGTGTGATCGTACGCGTCAAAGGGCTAATAGTTAGTAAGGTAGTTGAGCTGTGTGAGACACTTTTTTTATGGATGGGCGCTTTTTATTTAACTTCTTTTGGACTGATGCATGCAACACCCGCTGAGTGGCATTAAACAGCTTGAAAAATCAAAGACAATTTGTAACATAACTCTGACCGGATTCGTCTGAAAGAAAAAAGTCATATACACCTAGGATGACTTGAGGGTGAGTCATTTATGGGCTAATTTTCATTTTTGGGTGAACTAACCCTTTAATTGGTTAATGGTAAGTCCCCTTACTATATATAGTCAGAAACTGAAATAAATCAAATGGGACATGTAATTTTACAGTAAAATGTACAGCTTTTAGTGAAAAACAACAAGTCATCTTATAATTTGCAATGGAAAACATACTGAGATTCCCAGAATTCCCTGTGTGCTTTTGGTTTTAATTTGAATAATTATGTTTCTTCTTATTTTTATTTCTTATCAGGTATTTATAGTGTATGCATATGTTACATTTAATGTTGTTAAATTAATGTTTATTGAATTATTTTAGTGTCATGTGTGCTACCATTATGGTATTTTTGATTCATGTGTATGACTCTTGTGCAACTTCTATATATGAGTATTTACCTCACCTGCGGAAAAGTTACTTGATAAAATAACCAAAATAAAACATCTAAAGTAATAAAGCAATATTTTGAGGCCAAATTGTCCTGAAGACCATACTATTAGACTAATTTCAGAATCACAAGTATGGCAGTGTCAATAAAAGATTAAGGTTTAAGATTATTTATGATTTGAACTTCAGTGACAAAAAATATGTTACAATTGATTCGTTTCAGTGAATCAGTTCAGACTCTGCCTTTTTTATTTTTAAATTTAAATTGGTTTTAATTTGAATAATTATGTTTCTTCTTATTTTTATTTCTTATCAGGTATTTATAGTGTATGCATATGTTACATTTAATGTTGTTAAATTAATGTTTATTGAATTATTTTAGTGTCATGTGTGCTACCATTATGGTATTTTTGATTCATGTGTATGACTCTTGTGCAACTTCTATATATGAATATTTACCTCACCTGCGGAAAAGTTACTTGATAAAATAACCAAAATAAAACATCTAAAGTAATAAAGCAATATTTTGAGGCCAAATTGTCCTGAAGACCATAATATTAGACTAATTTCAGAATCACAAGTATGGCAGTGTCAATAAAAGATTAAGGTTTAAGATGATTTATGATTTGAACTTCAGTGACAAAAAACATGTTACAATTGATTCGTTTCAGTGAATCAGTTCAGACTCTGCCTTTTTTATTTTTAAATTTAAATTTTTTTACATTTTTGTTTAAGTTATATTAGAAGCTGCTGGTCCCCACTGACTTCCATGAACTGTTTGGTTACACACATTGTTTAAAATCTCTTCTGTTGTGTTCAGCATAAGAAATAAATTCATACAGGTTGGGAACAACTTGAGGTTGAGTAAATGATGACAGCATTTCCATTTCTGAGTGACCTACAGTATGCCTTTAAATTTGATATAGTAAATTCCCCAGACCTACTCAACTCCATTTAAGGTAACTTGTGGCAATTTCTACCGTTAACATCCCTTTTCAGACATTGGACCGCAGTAACAGAGTGATCACTGACTGTGGTCGGCACTGACACTGTGTTCACCCGTGTGGTCAGTCTGTGCTAAAAACCACAGCGTCTGCCATTCACATCAGCTGGACAGAATGTGGGTTTGTCCTGAAATACTCTGCATGCTTCCTAACAAAAAAACATTTTCTGGAAACATACGAAGTCCTTTTATGTAAAAATTAATTGCTAATAATATTCAGCGAATCGGCACCTTTTCCGTTGTTACACAGGAATGCATGACATGTGTAATTTAGTTCCCGCCTGACTGAATAAATATCCAATATAAATACCCCTGCAGTCAAAATGCGCTCAGAGCACTGCAAAGGCATTAAAAATGCAGTTTTCCCAGAAATAAAAATGAACTAAGTGCTACCAAAAGGCCCAATGAGTGTGCGTGTGTGTTTTCCAGTCCCTTATTGTTAAAGCGACAGCAAATCGCTTCAAATTCGACCAACTCCACCAATGAAAAAAGGGTCAATGTCAGGCAATTAGCTTCTTAACCCAACAGGCATCAATGCTGTGATGCATTTCAGGAGGTAAAATATGGGGGATGTCAGTACGGCTTTGTAGAGAGGACAGAATTAAGACATTACAGGCCTAATGTGTCCTAAACCACCGAAGAAGAGCAGCCGACTCAGCAGAAACACAGACTGCAGTCGCCCGGGTAAAAGAAACAAGGAGGTCCACAGCGTCGCTGCCTCTGCATAGTGCATACTAACCCAGCTCACACAATTACCCACTCTCTCATGTGGCACTGTGAAAAGATGAGCATCATCATCCTCATTAACGTAAACAATGTTGATCAATTGTATTTAAACAACTAATACCTTTATCTGCTAATTATCCTTTTAAAAACCAGTGTTTTTTCATGCATTGGTCAATTTTGAGATTTTGCACTATTTGACTTTTTCATAACGTTTCAGACTAGTGGAGGAAAAACATCCAAAATGCACTTTTAAGTGGTTAGTTTTAACTGTACTTTATTTGCATGAGTAGATCTCAATATGTTTTCTCAAAATGATTTTTTTTCTCCTGCACTTGAGTCAGAAATCTACATTTCAGCAGCACTTACATAAACCACACTCAACAGTTACATTCATATCTGTTTTACATTTGCATTTAGTCATTTAGCAGACGCTTTTATCCAAAGCGACTTACAAATGAGGACAATAGAAGCAATCAAAACTAACAAAAGAGCAACAATATGTAAATGCAAATGACAAGACTCGGTTAGCCTAACGCAGTACACGTAGCAAGGTATTTTTATTAATAATTTTTTTTTTTTTTGGTTTGTTCATATATCATTTGCATGATTTATATAACATTTTATTCCTAAATATTTATTTATTTTATAAATATTTTTATATTTCGTTCATATTTATTATTACTAATATAGTTATTCGTTTGTTTATTCATTTATTTTTTAATGGTTGTTGAGAGTATTTTCTAGATTATGGAAAAATATTGAGCATTCCTCTTTATAATTTTTTTTTTTAAATAAAAAGATAAATAAAAATAATAAAAACACTTTCAAAAAATGATTGAAGAGTTTTGATCCCTGACTTCATCCAACATTCAGATTTCCATTCTGGAAAGTCATGCAAATTAGCAAATATTTAATATGATAAATGCACCATTGCATATTTAAACATATTTCAGAAAACCCAAAAAGTCACTCACCATCATGTTGTTCAAAACTGAAATGACTTTCTTTCATGGAAAAGAAGACATGAAGTTAAATACATCCAACTTGTGAAGAAATTCTTATGATTTAAGCCAATAAAGGCTTAAAATGTAGTTTGTTTGCAACAAAACGTTAGTGTGGGAGTTTAGAAGACACAACAAATATAATGTACAGTTTTATTATTAAATTAATAATATATTAGTTGTATATTTAATTTATTTGCTATTTTTATAATACTGTATATATACATGGTTCCACTTTAGAAAAAGTCATTCAGGTTTGAAACAATATGAGGGTGAGTAAATTATGTCCATTTTCATTTTTTAGTTTACAAACCTTTTAAAGGTAACAAACCGTCATCTGTTTCACAGCACCTAAGACCTGTAAGGAAATCTGATATTTTTGCATAGCAGTCCTCACACATGTCAGCACTCTACTCCTGCTAGAAAACCATGCAGTCACCAAATCAATGGCCATCTCTCAAGTGACCTTATTAATATCGTCCAAACATGATTTATTATTTATTGCACCTGAATGTCTACAAGGGTCTGGGGCTGTCTGATGGATATCTGTGCGACAGGAGCCCATTATTTCCAGCATGTCATATTGAATTCTGCAGGAGTGCACTCAATTTTCCCTGAGCCACAGGCCCGGGGCCAGGGGCCAGTTTCAGCGGGGCCGCCACAATGGCACAGGGAAATCTGACAGGATCTCGCTCTGTGAAAATTACATTTCAGTCAGATGGAGTTGGCCCCTCTGCAAGCCGCTAATGGATTGCTCTTTTTTTTCCCACTGACGGAATGGGGAATCGATGACATCATAGCTGCGGGGACAACAGCTCCGGATTCAATGAGCGTTGATGACTGTTTGAGAAGTATCAAGCCTTGATCTGTGCCTGAACCTTTGGTAATGAGGAAGATCAATTTTGATTGTTGTAGCTGATGATCTATGAGGCTGAGGGCAATTTCATATTCATGCCGAGGCGGCCGTTTGTGGCGTCTAATTGAGCATAGGCTTGATTAAAATTCATCTCGCTCCATGTGGTCTCTATTTTGGGGAGGTTCAAGTAACAGCTCTGTCACCCAAATTGGCTTCAGCGAAAAGCTAGAACCTGTTAATCAGCAGGGGGAGCGATACAAATAAATAAAACAACAAATGAAAGTTATTAAAAACTAAATTAATTTAAAAATAAAAAACAAACATCAAATAAATAAAACATCAAATAAATAAACAAACAATCAAACAAACAAACCCATACATGCATCCAGCAATCAAATCGAGGTACAATAAATCAGTCAGCTCCGTGCCCACTGTGTCTCGTTCAGAAAGGCTCCCCATCTGCAGACAACAGGCCAGCAAGCGTCCAACTGTGAAATGGAGATGACTGAAAAGAAACACTGGTGTTTTGTTTGAATGTGATGGATTACTCTTTTAACGGAAAAAAAGGTGGCAGAGGAATAGAGGTGGGTCCTCTAAGCTTCTTGTGCACGATAACGTGCAATTACATTAAGCATAGCACTCTGAATGAACCCTACCAAGACAGACAGTCAGTCTTAATCCCCCCTTTCATAGTGGCTGCAAATTACACATTGCTAAGGATCAGTTACATTATGAAAACATTACAAGCAATTCTAGCGAATTATCTATAATGACCACAATGCAGTGTGCTTCCAAGGAGCCATTTAAACTGCCTATTGAAACGTCAAACAATAACAAAGGCACCCATCAAACAATAACAGCATGTCATAAAATACTTGGTCATTCTACATAAATGTTGTAGCAGCAAAAATAACTTCTACTGCTAAAAAAACTAAACAAAAATAAGTCACTTTATTTTAAGGTGCAATTCTCGCTATTAACAAACCATTTACTACGACATTTGCCTCAATAAACTGCTAATTTGCTGCTTATTAATAGTTAGTAAGGTAGTTGTTAAATTTAGGTATTGGGTAGGATTAGGGATGTTGAATATGGTCATACAGAATATGTGCTTCATAAGCACTAATAAACAGCCAATATGTTATTAAAAGGTATGCTAATAAACAACTAGTTAATAGTGAGAATTGGTCCCTATACTAAAGTGTGTAGCGTCTGGACCACTCAAACACACAATATATATTTTGTTAGCTAGATTTAACAAATACTCTGTAACACCCCAGGAAGCCGAACAGGCCCCTGGTTCCATAGCAACACTGACACCAGATACATTTACGATCTAAAGGA